TGATGATGAGATTGAAAAATGGGAATTGCGAGATGATTTTCCAACTAATGAAGCTAAGATTGTTGTGGAAGGGACATTGAGATGCAATTATATTAGTTGTTATTGAGGAGGTTCTTACTTCTAGATTTACCCTGTTTGCCCTTTTCCATTCACCCACTTGACTAGAGCCAGCAAAAGAACCAGCAGAGGAGCCAGCTTCTGAGTCTCCTCCTTTGGATCCTGAACTAGAACTAGTTGGAGGAGGAGCTAGATCCGGAGGAGCCTGCACCTGCCCCAGATCTTGAACCGCCATCTCCAAGTCCAATCCTGATTCCAGCACCTACACCTATCCCACCCAAATCCAAACCCAAGTCCTTTCTTGCCGCCCGACTCTCGGACACCATCAACAAAGTGGAAAGTACAAGAAAACCAACCATACTCAGTGCCTTCAGTTTCGCCATATTTGAAACCAAATGGATAGATCAATGCCTTAATTAGTTAGGCCAAATAACTTATATGTTTCTTTTGACTGTCGTGGGTATGATTAGCTTATTTAGCTTGGCTAGTGAATACTGTGGGAGAATAAATGGAAGACATGGGTGTATATATAGTGTTTTTGTGTGGGTCGGTAGCTCAATAATTAAACAAAGTGATCAAGTGGATGTATGATTAAATACATATCCACTCTTGTTAAAACTTGAAGTTCCAAATTTTGTTATTAAATCATAGAAAACCCCACTAAATCTGCAATGATAAAACTCTTACAATATCTTAGAGAGATGTTGGATTTGTTACAAATTTGTGTTTTTCAACCTTAGAGGAGTGAAGTAGTGGCTGATAATGAATTGAAAGTGGAAATCCAAATCTATCATCCATAATTCTCATCCCACTTACCTTCAAATAATGGAACTCCTCCATTGTTTCTTCATTCATATAAACAAAAAACAATCGTGAACGCGCACACAAACAAATGATAATATAATATAATACGAGTGTATGAAAAGAAATGCATGCGTTATGAAAGGACACAAATTATATAAGTAAGCAAACGATACAAATTTCATTTTTTGGAATGAGATTTTCGTAATGATAGTAAAAAAATAGCTCCTTTGAATAAAATTACCTAAACTGGCCTAAAAAAATTTGTAGTGATACATTCATAAGGATCTTGCAAAGTAAAGGTTAAACCTAAACCGATGGTTATGCTTGGTCGAGGACCGATTAGCTCTAAAGAAAATTAGTCATGGTATGGTCCAGTTTGGGAAAACTAGGGTTGACTCATTTTAGAAAAAATAAGAATCAACAATTTTAAAAGAAAATAGATGTTAAAATAACTTGTCCCATGCATAAAGGATGGACAGTTTGGTCTGTCCAAATTATAGGCCTGTTTCCATTTGGTTCGGTCCGATCCGTTAATGTTAATGTTATTTTATATACGAAGGATTGAGAGAAAGAAAGTTAAGCTGAGAAGCGTAAGAAAAGATCCGACATTTGAACACCTTTAACCTCAAACTCACTCATGAATCGCGTTTGATACAGGAATTGATTCGATGAATCCTTGTGCAGCTCATCTCGGTGCATCTTCTCCCAATGTGCATCCAAGGGTGGTGATCTCTTCTTACACTTCTCACCTTAACTCTTTCTCATCGGAACCCAACCTTATATATATATATATATATATATATATATATATATATATATAGGGGAACAATCAAATGCAAACCACCATATTTGTACAAACCGTACAAACTATCATCGTCCGTAAATTTCATTGTTTAATTTAACGAAATTGTTCACGAAATTATTTAATCTGATGAAATTGTTTTATATATGGTTGTTTCTGTGTAAAAATGAAACTGTTTCATGTATTTATCTAAAATTAATATAATAAAGACGATAATGTTCATAATTAACGGTCTCCACAAGAAAAGATCTAGCCAACCTCTTATAATTAGAAAAAATGAAAAAACAAAATTATGATTGGTTGCACAGTTTATACAAATGACTTGGTTTGCAAAAGTAAATCACCCCTATATATAGGGTCATAATCTTTGTTAACCAACTTATTATTGTTAACTTAATTTGTTAACCAAAATAGGCCAATTAGGTTTCACCAAATTTGTTKGTTTCATCCCACGTTTGTTGAATGTTGGCAGGGTCGTTCCTTGGGAAGAGTGGGTTAGTTGTATATAGTGATGGCCAAAAACTGGTCCCGCGCAAGGCCGAGCCGGTCTAAGATTTCTCATAACTGGCCATAACCGGTCCCGGTCCCAAGATTTCTCAAGTTTATCATAATTTCATGAGTTCTCAAAAGAAGACCCATATCTATCTATCTATCTATCTATCTCTCTCTCTCTCTCTCTCTCTCTCTCTCTCTCTATATATATATATATATATATATATATAGACTTGGGATCATGTGAGACCAACCTGTTTTCGTGAGACCACTTTTTTACACTTGAAACTTCACAGTAAAATGCTGTGAAGGTAACCTTCACAGTGTTTTTGCTGTGAAGGTTCGGATTTTTTTTACCTTCACAGTGTTTTCACTGTGAAGTTTCAAGTGTAAAAAGGTGGTCTCACGGGTCTCACGAAAACAGACTGGTCCCACGTGAACCCAACCCTATATATATATATATATATATATATATATATATATATATATATAAGAGCGATCAAATAAAAACCACCCTCGTTTGTGTAAACCATATAAACCAATCTCATTCATTTATTTTCTTGATCAATGGTCAAGATTAGTTTAGTTTATATTAGAAACTTAAAAATAAAAAAAATAAAAAATATTTTTTAATTAGAAAAAGGGCAAAATTGTAAAACCGTCTATATCAATAAATCGGGTATAATCATCAGTTTTCTTAATCAACCCTATTTTGAATAAGGAAACAATATTTTTAACTATTACAGTATTTAATGAATGAAATGATTTCACCGTATTTTTTACGATACACGAATAAACGTCTTTCTAGAGGAGCCATATGTTATTTTCATTTTCTTAGAAGATGGATCCGTTTCAATCTTATTATGAAATGATTTCATTGTTTGCCTATTAGATGAGACATTTGTCATTTTCATGTTTCGGTAGATGGATCCGTTTCAATCTAATTATAAAATGGTTTCACTGTTTGCTTATTACATAACATGTTCTTAACAATTATGAAATGGTTTCACTGTTTCAATCTAATTATNCTGTTTGCTTATTACATAACATGTTCTTAACAATTATGAAATGGTTTCACTGTTTCAATCTAATTATAAAATGGTTTCACTGTTTGCTTATTACACAACATGTTCTTAATAATTATGAAATGGTTTCACTGTCGTTATGAAATGGTTTTACTGTTTGCTTATTACACAACATGTTCTTAACAAAATGAAACAATTTCATCAATAATTGTTGATAAGAAAACTAGATTATGCACGAATATTATATTACGCAACCAGTTCATCCCCAAAAGTTTTATAAAACAAGCTACTTAATGAACGTTTTCACGAACCAATCTGCATACATTTCATAAAACAAGCTCCTCAATGAACGTTTTGTAAACAAATCTAACATAAATCTGTTTCACAGCTGATAATGAAATTGCTTCACTTTTTACTAATTACACAAACTTTTTCTTATCTTTTCTGAAATGATTTCACTTCCTTCACGCAACCATATCATCATGCACCCTATTCATCATGCACTCATTTCCTGATGCACTCATTTCATGCTGTATCCATTTCATAATGCACCCATTTCATTATCATTTTCACTTACTCCATGCATCAATTTCACCATATATGAAACCGGTTTCATCATGCACCCATTTCATTATCATTTTTACTTACTCCATGCACCAATTTCACCATATATGAAATCAGTTTCATCATGCACCAATTTCATAATCATTTTCACTTCATGCACCAATTTTACAATTTATGAAACCGGTTTCATGAATATTTTTTTATTCTATTACCGATTTCATGGATTTATTAATCTAATAACTTATGATTTTCATGAATCTTGTCAATAATAAACCGAGACACAATATAACAAAATCCAATTTTTAATATTATAATTTAATTAAATATTTAAATGTTATCATTTATAAAATTTTCTTTATTATGTTACCTTAATTAAGATTTATTAATAACTTTCATATTTAATAGAAAACAATGCAAATGACCAATATACCCTTAATAATTAAATTTAATTAGAAAAAATGGAATTTTCCTATTTGTCGAAATTAGTTTACATGGTTTTTAAGAATTGCACGGTTTCATTTGAACGTGCCTATATATATATGGTATATTTCAAATGCAATCATATCCATTTGTACAACCAATGCAACCCAATTAATTGAGATATTTATAGAAATGATGAGAGTTTATTTATTATGATTTGAATATTTATGGAAGATAAATATGGTTCATTAATTATGATCAATATTTTATATTAAGAAACAATCAAAACTTCTATAAAATCATATATTCATCAAATTAAATGGATGGTTGACATTGAGTTGTATTGGTTGTACAAATATAAAAGGTTGTATAATAACCAACCCCCTCTCTCTCTCTCTCTCTCTCTMTATATATATATATATATATATATAAGCCATTTTTTAGATACAAACCATACAGATCAATATTAACCGTTCACGTAGAATATTAAATCAATGTCAATGATGTAGATTAAATTGATTCTGAAATTGATTCTCAACTTTATCGGGCTAGCTACAATTGATTTTAGGTTATAATGTATAACATTTACTTAGTTGATATTTAAAGTGAATTCTGCTGTGTATAAAGTTGGATCAGAATATGACCACTTACGTAAACTGAATATATATTTCAACGCACCAACAGGCTGATACACAAACCACACTTTATGTTTTACTGAAATGACATAAATTTAAAGTGACGTAAACCACAACTATTAACTAACCACTTAAACAACCATCCATGCATGCATAACTTATATACTAAAACCTTTCAAGGAATTAAACCACAATGTTTCTTTATTTGCGATCTCCACCTCCTCCATGCCCAGACCCATATCCACTTCCTTCCCCTGAACCCTCACCAGATCCTCCTCCACGTCCACCACCTCCTCCACCACCGCTGCCGCCACCACCACCACCACCCCTTCCCCGTCCTCCTGAACCAGATCCAGCTCTAGAGCCAGCAGAAGAACCTGCAGAGGAGCCAGCTTCTGAGTCTCCTCCTCCAGATCCGGAACTAGAACTAGAACTAGAGCTCGAGCTGGAGGAGGAGCTAGAACCTGATGAGCCTGAGCCTGCACCTGCACCAGACCCTGAACCACCACCTCCAAGTCCAATCCCAATTCCAGCGCCTATACCTATCCCACCCAAATCCAACCCCAAGTCCTTTCTTGCCACACGACTCTCGGACACCATGATCAAAGTGGAAAGTACAACCAAACCAGCCAGACTTAGTGCCTTCAGTTTCGCCATATTTGAAGCCAAATGGAGGGCTTAATTATATAGGCCAAATAACTTTTGTTTTTTTGTTGTGGGTATGATTACCTGATTGCTTGGGTAGTGAATGTGGGAGAATGAATGGAAGGCATGGGTGTATTTATAGTTGTGTTTGGGTGAGTGGGTGGGTGAAGTGGTGGAGATATGGATTTATATATGATGAACATTTTGTATGTTGAAAGATAGGTATTAATTAGCTAGTGAAGACTCCACTCTTTTCAATCACACATATTTAATACGTGGTCTTTTGTTAAAACACTATATATGTTTTTTAATCTTGAAAAATATATACATATATATTGAAGTGTGAGATAAGCAAAGACTTGTGGCTGAGAAAGGGTGTAGCATCAAAGTGGAGATCCATCTGGTGGCCATGTCGATCAGTTATCATCATTCTCATTCTTGCCAAACCCACAATCCTCCACTTCTCATGAAGTAGTGGAACTCGTGGTTTAATCATATACAATATATATGCATATATACACATATTCATATATATTAAATGTATATATACATATACATATATATGAGATTCAAGCGATAACACCCTTATTTTATAAGAATGTGAGAATATTTATACACCTTCTTTCAAAAAATTATTAATTAACCAATAATTAATATTAAAAGAAAATAAAGTAAGTAATTAAAGATAATCATGTGATTTCGTATTATCTATAATCTTTGTGACATACTTATACCTAAAATTACATAGGAATAATATACTCATTGATATCAAATCATTATCACAATAAAATCAGATGATAAACAAGCAGAGCAATGATTGTAGATGTAATCATCATTGATTTACGATTATCACAACATTATCATAACGTTATCACAAAAAATCAGAGTATTGTGGCCTTGTTGACATTACCGAGGAACTTATATGTCTTCATTGGCTTTTATTTGATATTTGTATTACGTGTATACGTAGTTTTCTCCAACAGAACCTAATCTCTTTTCATGCTCTTGTTTCTAGACTCAATATAATTGGTTCTCCCTAGACCCTCTTTGACTTTGACGTAGTTCTAATTTGCTAGTTGATATGCATAACTTTACTTCCTTTTCTCTCTGTTTTATTTGAATCTGCACGTTGTATCTCTATACTTTTATTGATGGCTTCCAATTGTCTCAAAATCAATCTTCATCGTCATCATTAGTTACCGTTTCTTACACAAACTAACAACATATATATATATATATATATATATATATATATATGAATTCATATTTTTTCTTCACTTGTCATTTATATTTGTTGTATTTAATTAATTGCAGCATTTTACGGTTTTTAACATAAATAAAGAACCCATTAAAACCAAAAACCACACATCCTCCTTTGAGTCTATCAATTACGTACAAACTTTTCTATTCAATTACTGTTATATAGATCAAGTAGTTTGTCTAATGGGCCGTTTATTAAGCACTTACCTGGTAAGTGCTTACTGGTTAAATTTAACACTATTATTTACTTATCGAGTAAGATTTTGGTCCATCATAATGACATCGTATGCAACAATTTACCCGGTAAGCACTTACTGTGTGGTAAGAGTCGTTGTCTTCACTTACTGGATAAGACTTTTGGTCTTTGTCTCGCTCTTACTGGGTAAGATTCTTGGTCCTTACCATATTCATCCGGTATGATAGTGTGACTTGGTAAGCGCTTACCCGGATAAGCATTTGATAAACGGCCCCTAAATCAGTTGTCTTCCTTGTCTTATATATTAATAGATGTACTTCAATTCCACTTGCAAGTGCAACAAAAATTTATGGGTTGATCCACAAACATATATCTCTAGAAAAAAATAATTGTTCTCTCCCCTTGTATTCTTTCATGTTCCTCCAATCAAATCTCAACATTTACATATAGGCAGTGTTCAAAAAGGCGTATCATGGCGTGCGCCATGGCACGATATTGAACAAGATGTATCTCCGTTGTTACGAAATGCTCATAGCATTTCTGTAACGTGTGGCTCACACCATGGCATCTTGGGTCCGACATGGTGCGTCGCGATGCGAGTTTTTTGTAACACGTGATTTTTCCAAAAAAATATTTTTTTTTTGTTTTTAATTTTTTATCTTTTATGCTTTTACATTTTTAACTTTAGATTTTACATTTTTATAGATCTAACTAATCACATCACTCACAGTTTCATAAATTCATAAATGTTATAGACTCACGGTTAAAATAACATAAAAATTACCTTTCTAAGTTCTATTTTGAATACTTAATCAAAAACCTAGTTTTATAATAATAATCTATATGATTTTTCTCTTTTAATATGAATATACATTTTTTTTAATATCATTACTAGATTATATAATATATAAAAAACATAAATAATTATATATATGATATACAAATTTGTCGTCTTATGTCATGCCTTGAAAAACATCTTATGTCATGCCTTGAGGCTTGATCTCGCCATCACGCCAAGCCTCACGCCTTTTTGAACCTTGCATATAGGTAAAAGGCTAACACGTAAAGTTTTTAGGGGGCGATTATAATTATCGGTGGTGCATAAATTTAAATTAGATGGTACTAGGAGAGAGAGAGAGAGAGTATAGATGTTTTATTGTATGGAGTAGGTGTGAACATTGATTGATTGACGTCGGGTTGAAGACATTTGAAAAACTCAACTCAATATTTACAGTTTAAAAAGACCGTACACAACTCAAACAAAAGTATAACTCAATCCAAACCAAATCATATAGGCGAGTCAAGTTGAAACATTTGTACATTGAAATATTCTCTTATGTTTGTTATCTTGAATTTAGTGTTTTCTGTACTCATAATTCTTTTATTCATCATCAATTAATTGGTAGAGCTTATCCATAACCCTTCTTAATTAAGTAGACAGTCATTCAAGTGTTTTTCTTAAATTTCACATATATGATTACATTTACTGAACAAATATATGAATGAGTTATATAGAGATGAATAATAGAATTAAAATATATGTATATGAAGAGTCTACTAATGGTGTAAAGGTCTAACACCATATTAAATCCAAAAAATAAAATGATAATAGGTTTATCGGATTGGTTTAGGTTCAAATGACTCTAACTCAATTCTAACCCGGTATCTATCACTACAACAAATAGATTTTAGAGGACCCCTAAAATGATAAAGCATCCTAAAAGAATACTTATAGGACATAAGTTTATAAGACCAAACCAAAAAACGTCTTATTTAAAAATGATACAATAAGTTTATAGAATGCTTTTAGTCATTTTAACAAATTTATTAAGACACTTCTAAATAATGTGTCGTGTTAATTATTTTATACGACACTATTTAAAAGAGCATCTTATAAATAAAAATGTTCTATATATGAAAAGATGAGTTTATAGGACACTTCTCAAAATATAGCTAATATGATACTTTATTTTAAAAACGTCGTAAAAAACTTGTTAAAACGCCTAAAAACATTCTATAAACTTATTGTAACGCTTTTAAATATGATGATTTTTTGGTTTGGTCCTGTAAACTTGTGTCCTATAAAGTATTTTTTTGAAATGCTTTTTTTTTTATACATCATATAAAATCAATTTTATTATAATGGTTTGAATATTTTATAAAATACCTCACAAAATAAGTCCATAAGAAATAGTAGGTTATAGCATGAACAAAGAGAGTGAATATTACAATGAGAGTACCATTAAACCCACACTTTTGTGTTGCACTAAATCACCCCAACATGAGACTAGCTAATAACCATACATAGCCTAAAAGCCACAAATTACATAATTAACCATTTAACATGCACGCATGCATGCATACCTTATTCATAAACCTTCTAAAAAAAGACACCAATTATTTGCGATCTCCACCACCTCCATGTCCAGACCCATGTCCACTTCCCTCCCCAGAACCCTCACCTGACCCTCCTCCACGTCCACCACCACCACCGCCACCACCTCCGCCACCACCACCGCCACCACCTTTTCCCCGACCTCCTGAACCAGATCCAGCATGAGAACCGGCAGATGAGCCAGCTTCTGATCCTGCTCCACCTCCTCCTCGGGATCCTGAACTCGAGCTAGAACTAGAGCTAGAGGAGCTGGAGGAAGAGCTAGACCCAGAGCCTGCACCTGCACCAGACCCTGAACCCCCTCCTCCCAATCCAATCCCAATTCCAGCACCTATACCTATCCCACCCAAATCTAACCCCAGGTCCTTTCTTGCCACCCGACTCTCCGACACCATGACTAAAGTTGAAAGTAGAAGCAAACTGGCCAGACTTAATGCCTTGAGTTTCGCCATAGATGCCTTGAGCTAGCCAAAAATGGAAGCCTTGAATATTAAAACAAATTGATGGTTAGCTAATTGCTTAGTGATTCCTATACAAGGCATATATAGGTCTATTTATAGTTGTCACGAGGATATCTAGGGGTGGGTGAATAAATATTAATCAAAAGCTTTAAGTGATGAATACATGGATTCATGATTAACATTGGCGTTTTGGTTTTGTCAAGTGGTGAATGACATATTTGTCCCTACCATTGTTGAATTTTAAAGTTCAATATTTCCCATTAAATCATATAAGAATTCGTTTCATCCTTTTTTTAATTTGAAAAATGAAGAGATCTCATCTTAACAACAACAAACCAACCATCGATTCATGGTTCCTATATCACACAAGATCGAACTTGAATCTAACTTAGAAAAATAAGGTATAACTTCGATCATCGGTATATATATATATATATATATATATATATATAATGAATTTCAAGAAGTTAAAAATAGCTTTAATTATTCGAAAATGGATGGTTTATGTTTCTTACCCTAAAGAAATAGATTCAGGTGTGAAAGAAGCAAAGAGTTGTGGGTGAGAAAAAGATGTAGCATGCGAGTGGAGATTGATGTAGTGGCCAAAGTTAAGCATGATTGGCAAAATGTGGTGGCTCAACCCACGATTCTTTCACTTTAATTATATCATAGTGGAACTCTGCAATTATTAATTTACTGAAAATGAATGAATACAAAATCAGCCATGCAAATCAGATCTTCCAAATGAAGAAGAAGATAAGGATGCTTCCGTGCAGCCGACGTTTAAAAAATACCATCATTGTTTTCAAACAGGTGTTAATTTCGAATATGCAGTTTAATTTTCTAGTCTAACTTTATTTACAAATTTCGATTCAGGCCCATGATTTTCTTAAATTGTTAGGGATTTTGACTATGGATGCAAAAATATACAGTATTGACCATGCAAAAGGGTGATCCTTTTAGTTGTTGGTGATTTTAGTGTCTGTCAATTATTTTGGTGTAATTGTGATTTACATGAGATAGACCTAGTGATGAGGCAAACATAAGCGAGTTAGCATTTATTTTATCAAAAAGATGTGATTTATAATACATGAAATTAAGATTTGATTTTGCTTGATTTCTAGGAGTTAGTGGCTGATTCTTTTGCAAACTAAGTTGTTCTTGTTTTAGCTTTGTTTGTTTGAGTTTTTTTTGTATTTGCTCTGTTTAAAGAGCCCAGTAGTACGAATAAAATTGTTTGGTTGCCGAGATGACTTGAGAGAAAGTTAACAATGGTTGGATAGAGAGACCAAAACTATTTGTAGCTATTCGAGTTTTTAAAGTTTAAGGATGATATAAAAAAATAGATGAGATTTTGTCCCATAAATCCGTGACTAGAAACCAAGTGGTATCAGAGCTCTATCTTATTGGGGCTTGTTTGAGTGCAACCAAGGGAAGATAGAGACAATCGAATGGCAGAAAACAGTTGTTCTAGCATATTTGTGGTACTAGCCATACCAAAGTTTGAAGGGCATTGCAATCATTGGGCCAAGCTGATGAAAAAATTATTCGATTGAATAAGTATCGGGATCTCATCGAGAAAAGGATCAACAAGCCTGTAGAGGGAAAAGTACCCATTGATGCACAACAAAAGGTTATCAATGAATAGACCTTGAAGGACCTGAACCTCAAGAATTTCATGTACCAAGCCATAGATAGAGACATACTTGATACCATCCTCAACACCAAGACAAGTAAACAAATTTGGAATTGCATGAAGCAGAAGTTTCAGGGATCCACTAGGGTTAATATGAAGGAAGGAGAGACAGTGCTATTTTGCAAGAACTCTTGCAATTATTGCTAAGAAGATAAAGGTGTGTAGAGAACAATGTGTCGCTTAAGGCGGAAAATCCATAATATATATATATATATATATAGAGAGAGAGAGAGAGAGAGAGAGGAGGGGGGGGGAAGAGGGAGAGAGAGGTAGGTTCATACGAGAATGATATTTATTTAAAAAAAATTAGAGAATGACCAAATTACATACAACATCACATGTAATTTTACATTAATGGCCAAAAAATGTGCAGATGACCTTATGGCCACATGGCAAGATCACATGAATCACATGTGATTTTGAACATGATGTTAATGTAAAAAAATTACATATGATTCGACCATTCTTTTATTTTCTTTAAATATGTATCATTCTCGTATGAACCCGACTCTCTCTCTCTCTCTCTCTTTATATATATATATATGTATATATATATATATATGTATATATTATGTGTGTGTGTGTCTATGTCAGTGTCTTGAACAATAATGATTGAGTTATTAACATTATAAATTCATATAAAACGATAAACAAAAGAAGAACCATGAAGTAATAATTTGATATCAAATATACAAAGTAAGTCACTGTTTACAGTTCCTCTTTGGTAATCAAAAAGCAAAATCGAAGTCACGAAATCAAGATTTTACAAATAAAAGTAATCAAACAATATTTGTTGTACATTGAGAAGTAATTTAGGGTTTTTCTTTCTTTTTCTCCGTTTTCTTGATTAAGCATTTGGCCTGTATAAACTATAAAACTATATTTACATTTACTCCTATTTAACGTTATATCACTTGTAACGTTATATTTCTTGTAACACCATATCATGCCATAACGATCTTCACGCCTTACATCCACACCAAGGGGGTCAACGTGGCGGCATGGTCGTGCCTCAACGCCATAACACGTTTTTTAGAACATTGGTAGAGAAGCGGTTCAAGAGAAACTAACTACGTAGAAGATCTTGCAGTCAATGACGTCCAAGTTCAACCATGTGGTGTGTTCAATCAAAGAGTTGAACAACTTGGACACACTTACCTTGGAAGAATTGCATAATAGTCTCTTAGTTCATGAGCAGAGAATGAAAGCTGGTGGTGAGGAGGAACAAGCTCTTAAAGTGGCAGGTGATGAAAAAGGTATGAGAACTAGAGGAGATGAAAGAGGTACGAGAGCTCAAGATACACAAGAGGAAGAAACGTGGTTCTTAGATTCCAGGTGTTCTAATCATGACAGGTAGTAGGAAGTAGTTTACTGTTGGATTTATGTGCAAGGAACAAGACTGTTTGGTGTTAACTATATTATTGATTGCATATGAACTTATGGGGTCACAGACAAATAGCAATAATGATACCAATTAAATAATATATATGATATATTATGATTTAATCAAAAAGAGTAAAAGTTTCTTACATAATTATTTGGCTAAGTGAGTCAAAATAATGTCTAAGAAATAAAATGGGGGAAATTAGTTATATCCATATGATTAATTAATTAAAGGATTTTATTATTTAATAGAGTTTGAATAATATTAAATGGGCCAAGTTAGTTTAATTAGATTAAACTAAAAAGAAAAAGGCAAAGAGCCCATATGATGAAAAAGCCCACGAAAGCGGTTATAAAAGGAATAGGATTTAGGAGATTAGGGTTTAACCTAATCTTTTGCTCCTCTATACTTCCTTGGATCGATTTTCAGTCAAGAAGAGGAAGAGAACTTCTGTTTTGATTGAAGTACGGACTAGCATCCGATTGGTATCGCTCGTGTGGATACCAATAGAGGCGTTTTTGCTTGAATGCTTGTTTCTACATTAGATTCTTGCAGATCTAAGAGGTAAGATTCAGATCTTGTCGTTCTTAGTTTTATCTTTTGGTAGATGTATTCTACTCAATCGGATCTTGGCTTTTGGAAATCATTTTACATAAAGTTTTTTTGTTTTTCCGCTACGTTGATTTTATGTTGTTTGTTTAAAAGGTTTCAAACATTTCCTTGATTTCCAACATTTACAAACCTGGACAACCAGTTCAAACACTCTGTAAGGTCAGGAAATGGCACAAGAATGAAGGTGGAAGGGAGGGGGAGTATAAAACTTTAGTTTGAAGGAAGAACTCATGTCATCAGCAATGTGTATTTTGTACCCGAATTGATCACAAATCTATTCAGCATAGGCAACTACAAGAGAAACAACGATCCGACTATATGATAAGTTTTATTGATGATTTTAGCATAAACAACAGAATTAAGAGACAGTTGACTGCAGTCTATATGCCTCAACAAAACGGGGTGGCGAATCGAAAAATCAAATCATTATGAACACAGTCTGATGTTTATTGGCTGAGAAGAGAATGCTAAATAACTTTAGGGTCAAGCAGCTCGATGGACAACGCACATTCTTAACAGCTATCCGTCTATACTTTTGAAAGACAATATTCCACATGAAGTTGGTTCAATATAAAGCCCAATCTAGAATATTTTAAGGTGTTAGGATGTAGATGGCATGCACACATTCCTAATCAAAAAGAGTCAATCTACTATGACAACTCTTAAAACAATATGACTATTTTGTTAATACATCAGGTATATTCTGATCAATTTCGTGATTTCCCTTAAAAATAATTCATAGTATTTGTGATATATAATAATATGTTTAAATGCAAAAATATTCAATATTGGACTTATTTTAAAGGTATTGACAAGACGATTATAACTGTGTAGTTAGTTTTAAAAATATATTTTTTAATGTGTTATAGTTAATATACGATTGTATAGATTAATATAATAAAGATATAAAAATATAAAATGAAAAAAAAATATAATGTATAAAGTAAATTAAATAACCACCTATAAAGATATAAAATGTACTTTAAAAATTAAAAACAGTTTTAGATCACCGGTGTATGTAGATTAATATATTTAAGAACCCCTTTATTTATTTTTCTAAACTATGTATTTTTACATAAAGTACTTAATATTATATCATGACAAACAAATTACAATAGGAACCAAAATAAGAAGGCCAATAATCTCGTAAACGGTTTCGATTATGATAAGTCTATATTTTGAAAGTATATAATATTTATAAACCGACAAATATTCATACACATTTCGCATATTTAATAAGGTTTAATCCCTTAATTTTTAGGAATATTAAGATTTACTGGTAAACCGAATCCAATTGGACCAATGACTTTTGTGGGTCAAATTACATCATAAGGTCGTTTGTATCGCATGTATATATAGAAAATTTAATATAATATTACAAAAAAAACGTTTGATTTTATCTTAAGTACAAACAGGTAAAACCACCATTTATTTATTTAAATAAATACAAATATGGTGATATATTGTTTTTAACATCTCATATAAAACATCTACTAATTGCCACCTCGGTGTCCTGATCCCGCATAGGACCCTGCCGACGATCCTGCTTCAGAACCACCTCCACTAGAGCCACCATTGCTCGAGCTCGAGGAGCTTGACGAGGAAGAAGAGCTAGACCTGGATCCTGAACCAGATCCAGATCCAGATCCAGCCCCTGCTCCAGAACCGCTCCCACCACCTCCTAAACCAATCCCAACCCCTGCCCCAACCCCGACACCAACGCCACCAAGATCCACACCTAGATCCTTGCGGGCAACTCGTCCCTCGACGCACAAAATGGCCGAAGAAGCAAGAAGCAAAGCAAAGAGTAGTAGGAACCTCATGAATGCCATAATGCTTGGATTGATTTACTTGGATGAAGAGAAGAGAAGGTCGAAATGTAGTAATTGAAGATATGAAATGAATGTAGAGATGGTACGTTGATGTATTTATAGTGGTTCCGTATGGTGGATTGGAATGGGCAGTTGGGCACGGAGGGAGTGAAAATGAAGTGGAGAAATGGAAGTGGTTAGTGGACTCCAAAAAGTCAAAATTCTTGTGGTTGATATAACCTACAGTCTTTAGGGTTAAAGGGTTTTTGACATGTGTCTGCCGACCCATTTGATTGATTTCACCACTATAATGTTTTGGTTTTCAAGCTAAATACTAACACTGCATTTTAAAAATATTATTTAATAAACAATTAAATATTTAATGTATTATTTAAGGATAGTAAAATAAACGTATTTAACTAAAATCAATCATTAGCAAAGTAAGGGATGTTTGGTTTATGGAATTTGGTGGAATTGGAAGGAATTAGAATGTCCAAATCTTTGACCAAATTTCAAATGTCATGTTCGGTTCACATAATAGATGTGAAGAAATCCTTTCAATTCCAACAAATTCCTTAATTCATTGATTTCACAATTCCACCGCATATACCACGGATTTCAAATTTCAGTCCGACAAATTCCTTGGCCCTCATCCATTCATCGACGCTGTATCTCGATTTGCTCTGTTCTGCTATGCTCGATCTCTTTTGCTCGATCTCGTTTAAAACTAAGAATGGCAACGGGCCAAGTTCGGGCCGGTTATTGGTATCCCCGTCCCAGAAACCGATAACTAAAACCGTCCCTTTGACTGCCCCGATCCCCGTCGGGTCCCCGCGGTTTCCCTGATCCCTGTTGGGGAACCCGTTAAGGTAAAAATCCTCTTTTTCCCTTTCACCGTTGGCTATAACCGAACCCGAAACCGAAACCGAAACCTGAAACAGATTTAAAAAAAATTACAATATGTTAATTTTCACAAGTAAAAGTAAATTACAATTTTTTTTAAAGATACAAGTTTAAATGTCTCAAACATGTTACTATTTTCTTTTAATGATATTATATATATATATATATATATATATATATATGTGTGTGTGTGTGTATGTATAAATTAAAATTAATATATATACACATATCAATCCGCGCCGGCCAGGCCGATGATCACCGTCCCCACCCCTGTCCCCGTTAAAATCCCCGAAGTTGTCCCCGATCCCCACCCCGTCCCCGATAAGATGTCCCCGAACTCAGCCTGAAAGTTTTGGTTTTTGGTTTTCACCATCGGTTTCGGTTTTTTTTGTCTGTACTTTTCTCGTTGAATTCTGTGAAAGAAACAAAAAAATTCCAATTCCGTTAAGAATTCCATTCTAATTCCATCCAACCAAACACAATCAAAAGACATGGTCAAATTTCATCAAATTCCATGAATTCCAATTCCATCGAATTTCATTCTACGAACCAAACGCCCCCTAATTCTAAACTGAATATCGTTTCATACGAAGCAAAATAATATATATTATATTTCGAAAGAATTTGGAAATAGAAAGAAAACTAAAGTTATGTCTCTGATTGTAGACATGTATACAAAAGAATATTCAACCGTGCCACTAAATAGTTTCATCATCATATCATATCTATGACTTCTCGACGTTGAACCCAATTACTTCCTAATAAGAACCGAGTCTCTAAAATCCCGCCAAAATCCAGATCCTACAATCTTGGGCCATGGTAGAAAGAAATGACGGCCACACATTGAATATGGGTGAACTGTATAGAAAACGATATACAGAACTTGGATAATTAATGGATCGTGAACGGAATTATCGTCCATAAACAATATTTTGACCATTTTTCGGTCTTTGGGAATTGTGAAATTTACTTGGGGATGATGCAAATACACACTTTTGATGTTTGGTAGAGCATACAGAATGTTATGTTTTCAACATGTTAAAATGAGCTCCAAGAAACCCTTTAAATAGTGTTAATTTAGGAGGGTAGTAATTACTTACAGATGATATAAAATTATCAAATAACTATCGATTAGATAAGATCAACAATGGTTACGGCTACCAGTTCAGCAGACAACTTGCCTTCTTAATTCTAGCACAATCTGAAGTGAAAGTTCAAAACGCAACATACCTTCTAAATAGAAATTGAAGGCCTCATGCCTTCTGAATAACAGAATTCTGAATATAACCCACAAGGAAGTGTGGCCCTGTTGACCCCTGTTTTATGGAAGTCTTAAATCTACAGTAACTTATATAAGCATGCATTCCACACCTTCTAACTCATATTATCGCTTAACAAATGAAACCATCAATCTTTAAATCACAACTATGCTAAAATAATTGACGACCCTAAAATCACCAAGAACCAATCTGTGTTGGATGTTTAATCACAGCACATCATTTTCTATGTTCATCAAAAAATAAAAGCTTAATGGAGAGTGAAGCTGAATCATGAACCTGGGCCAACAAATGTTCTGCATGGAGCATTAAGTTTTGATGACAGAAACTCTAAAGGCAGGATATACATGATAGTGGTAATTGCAGCGATAGAAGTAGAGGAGCTGGCCGCTCCGCTCCTTGATCAAAAGTAATTAAGCATTCATGCCATTGTTGAAACTAGACTTAAACCATTTCATCTCTCTATACGTTAGAACCCTCTTCTCTACCTAAAGAGCTCTTTTTAAGAGTAAATCTGGTGGTTCTACATATTTTGACAACTACCATTCAACGATAAACACCTTTCACTTGATGGGTCAGAGCTATGTGATGACTGCTGCCACAAGCTTAAAAGGCAAATTTCTCATGAGAAGAATAGAACTGGCGTATGAAGAAGATGACCAAACCGAGGCTCATATGCTCGGACACCCAACTACATACATATATATATATATATATATATATATATATATATATATATATATATATATATATATATATATATATCCAAACATAAATAAACTAATAACGAACCAAATCTAGAAACAACCAACACAAAGAGATCAAAACAGAAAAAGAGAAAGAAAGATGATGGCATCATTGTCTTCTAAATCTTTATTGATGTTAACAGTAAATCAGTAATACGTGTTTGTGAGAAGACATGTTTTACTATTTGGGAACATGTCGAATTATTTGACATATCCTTGAGGAAGAAAAAATAGTGAGAAAATGGAAGGACGGGATATGTTGTTTGCCATATTATGCTACTTTCACAAAATCAATGAATCATTAAATGAATTAATAGCTATACAGATCCAAACCTCCCAAAATTTGTCACCCCCACCTACAGCTTTACACCCACCATTTGTGTTTTCTTCTTTATATTCCCTCACTACACCCAGCCATACATCAACTCTCGAACAAGCCTGACGAAACCTGCACCCACAATCATTAATTAATTATCATACCTCAACTGATCCATCAAATGCTATTTAATTAACATATATACCTTCAAATGGTGTGGCATGATCTTAATATCATATGGTACATGAAGCCATGCCTCAGGTTGATAGAACATAAAGTTCTCCGGCTTACTGGTGTACACATCTGCATACTGATGTATGTGATAAGCAAAAGCTGATTCTTGGCCAGTGTCCGTCAGGAACGTAGCCCCAAAAGATTCATTGAACATATTTCTCATCGTGCGCCGTGCATTCTGTCTCTCGTCGTTTAGTTCACCCAACAGGGACTTGAAAGCATCACATGAATAACTACTAGATACAGTTGAATGTAATTTGCCCAAAAGTTCTTGTATGATATGGAACTTCGCCTGTATTTGGAAAAAGAAATGCTAAGAAACATAATAAATGGTGATGCGCATTGAGCCCAGAGATCTGGTAATAACGTGAAACAATCACCAGTACAAGCTAAAAAACAGAATGGGAATATTTTTTTAAATGAATGGGAAAAGAAAAAAGTGGAAGCAATTAAATCTAAACTGCAGGAGTGTATGTACTGTGGGAGGGGGGGAATAGAACTACTTTTGAGATGATGGAGAGAAAGGCTGAGTTAAGATGTCAGAAGTCCGTCTAGAATTTATGAGGTCAAAACATCCATGTATAACAGTATAAGCAGACAAAATGAGGACTTCATGCTAGGAACAAGGTCAAGGGTCTTCGTTTTGGCCTGTGGATTTTTGGTGATGGAAAAATGACAAATGGGAAACAAGACATGTTACAGCATGATAAAAGTAAATATTTCATGTATACCTGTGCAAAACGGTAACCATCTTCATTCTGTATCTTTATCTCATGCTGCATAAATAAATCAATCAACAACATTAAGATGAATAAATTTGTTAGTTTGATACCCGTGCACACATGTATTGATGTATATTTATTCTGATCAGAAAAAAAAAAGTAGTTAAATCTATTGAAATTCCACGATATCGATCAGAAAGGATTAATAGAAGTTACTTAGAAGTTTTTTTTTTTGTAAGGATGTCCGGGCCAAAGCCCGACTAATCCCCGGCAAATTTGGAGGCTAAACATGACCCCACTTAAATGTCGCCAACACTTCCCTCCCAGGGATCGAACTCGGGTTCATGACTATGCCATGCCCAAGCCTTTACCACTAGGCTGGAAGGTCTTTGACTACTTAGAAGTTTACTAGTCAAAAATCAAACTTCACCACTACCCCCAATTTCTACATAATATAAGCAACAAAAAAAGAAACATGGGTTTCTTATAAATTAGGGATACGAGACTGAAAGAGTTCCCAAAAAAGATCGATGACTCTAGCTGGAGATATTCGTTCAAAGAATGTTGATAAACCTACTTCTGAGGACAAAGTCCAGCTTCTGTATAAAAATTCATAGGAATCATAGTCTCGAGTTTATCTTACTAGTATCAGAGGTAAATTGAGATCCAGGACTTACAGGTACTGAAACAAGCTATTTGCATTAGTAGATTTGTTCAATTGTTCCTTTAATAAATCATCTGGTGAAGCAATAACAGGTTCTAGATGTTTTAGCATTTGGCCAGTCAGCTTATTCAGATTCTCCGAACCTAGGGACTTGGGAGGACAAGAGTGAAGAAACCACTGCCTATCTAAATCAAAACAGTAACTATGCGGTTGCCAGTAAGGCCTACTAATCCAGCAAAGTTGTTGCGTCAAAACCGATGGAGGGGATTCAAATCGAAATAGATAAGTTACAATCATAGACGTCACAAGGAATAAATAGGGGACAAACACCTGATCAGTAATACCCATAACTCGGTTTAAAAGCTACCAGTTCCCAAAATTAAACACATGCAATAAGAGCTACCAGTTCCCAACATTAACACATGAAAACACTCAAAATTCAGATGCTTCAAATTCTGGATTTCAATGGTGCTATGGCTTAGGCAAAACAAGTAATCTAGTCCATAATTATTAGGATTCACTTTTTAAGTACTTTCTGAATTCACTGATGATTATTTTAGCTCAATATATTTTCTATCATAAACTCTTGTTGCACATTAATCTTGCTTCTTTCTGTAATCTTAATGATCTTGAAGTTGAAAACTAATCTGGTTGACTCTTAAAAGTCAAAGTGGACTCTTAGATTTGAACAAAGATAGTAGCATGCAATAGTAGTCATACTTCTAGCTCATGGATAATTGCAGCAGTACGCCAGCCAGCTTTTGAAGGGCCTCTCAGATCACTGAATAGGTGATCCCCAAAGTATATCACCTGCATCAATTGGTACCACAAATGTTAGTGTCCATAAGAACTGAAACTGAAATTTTTAGTATGCATAAATCAGGGGTAGCCTTGCGCAATCTTATGAAAATTAAAAACCAACAGGCAGATCATACTTATTAAATACCTCTGGACCATTCCATTTGGTAATTTGTAAGAAGGTTTTAAGGCATCCGTGGTAGTAAATTTTATTTGGAAGAAACTCATCCACTTTCGAGAAGGCTAGGTTGTCCTTCTCTACATCATAGCAACTGCAGAGTCACATAGCAAAAATGTTAACACCCCTCGAGTAGAAATACCCCTTATTTAAATTCTAGGAATTTATAATGAGAATTTTATCATTACAGCTAACATACAATATTGAAAGGAAGTATCTTAAAGTGAGATATGGTGGCCAAAGTTTTAAGAATGAAAGGTGGTACTGTGGCAAAAAATCTGAACAATGGAAGTTGAGTTGCTACCAAAATGCTAATGGCAAGTAATGGGATTAGTTGAGTAGGAATTAAATCCATGACTTAAGATATTGTGAAATCTAATTAAAATCTAGAAGATCTCAAGTATCTCCTCAACCAAAATAGCATACACAAAGATCAATTGTACTCGCAAAATAACATACACAAAGATCAATTGTAAAGATAAATTAATTAGGGCATTAACCAAGGTTGTAAAATGCATTAATGCATGCAGTGTATAATTACATCACAAAGACTCCTAGAAGTTGCCTATTATTCACATTTTGATGTATAAAATACATCTCCGAGTATTATAAGCGTGAAAAAGATACAAGGCTTAAATCTTTCAAACCAATGAGAATTAGCCAATTAGGGGATGTCTGGTTTGCTTTATGGAATGAAAATGGGATTGGTTATTAGAATAGGGTAGAATGGGAATCATTATTTTCATTCCATTCTATTATATTATTAGGGATTCCTTAAAATTAATTAATAATAAAAAAACAAAAAGGAAACTTGATAGCTACCTAATTCATCACATCATATCATCTTTCCAATGCACATCTTGGTAGACGAGGAGTGAGAGGCAGAATTAAAAGAAAAAGTTTCTATTCCCCCCAAATTGAGGAGGAATGATTTTTAACCAAATCTATTATAATGATTGATTAATTTTTTGAAACCAAACATCATTTTTCATTCCATTTCATTCCTTAATTGAACCAAACCTAAACGATGATTATCATTTCCATTCATTACCTTCTAATACCCCCAACCAAACACACCCTTAGTCATATTAAGGATAAAGTAGTGTATTTTCTTGGTATTTGTACACTAAGTATTGATTAAAATGAATAATAATAATAATAATATGACTATTATGGCCTTTGGAGTTTGGATTGAATGCGAGTACAAGAAGTGGCAAGAGCAAAGGATAAAGATTACAGAGCACACCAATTAAATGCCTTATGATCACAATGTATGAGAGTAATGTAGGTGAATTTTTTTATTATAAATAGGGCTTCCCTTCCATATTACCTACACCATATGCAAGGAGATTTAGAGAAAGTGAGAGAGAGTCAAGTGTGTTGAACAGTAAGATAGAAATAGGATTCATAAATCTTGAAGCGAAAAGATATAGAAGCAAGTAAAGGGTAATGAAGCTAATACTTTTAATGGTATGTGGTTTGTGAAATTATGAGTAATGAATGTCATAAAGTTTTGAAGTACTAAATACTAACATTTTCATGTTGTGGATTTCACAAAGTATGCCAGAATAGTAGACACAGCTTAACATACAGTCCAAAAAAACGTAAAAAGGTGTAACCTTACACCTCTGCTAGAAGTGTAAAGTTGTGATCTTTATAAACAAAGTTGTAAACTTACACAAGTAAGAAAAGCATAAGTTCACGGCTTTATTAGACCATCGACACAAAATTTCCATCTGTTCCAATAAACCAACTAAGCGAAACAAGCTCAGAAACATCACATTGTCCAGAATGAGTAACCGTATACGACCCAGTGAAATATCTGGTGAGACAGGAAGTTTTTGCTTTCTAAAAAATATCTCGACAAAAAGCTTATAAGCACACAGCTGTTCTTGGACAGAAAGCGTAATATTATAGGTATAAGCTAGTGTAAGGTTAGGCTAGTTTTGACAGCATAGCTTTACACCGTTTATGCAGAAAACAGAAAAATTATTATATGTACTGTTTTAACCATTAAGCTTTTAGAAAGTTAAATGTAGTATAATTAGGTATCGGAATTGTAGTAGAAGTTTAAGCAGGTTACTTACATAATAAATTACATAGGATAGATGTGATGAGAAAACTATCGAAAGGCAACAAAAGGCAAGTCTCTATCCACATCAACAAATTGAACCCAAATTTATTTCTATTACTGGTTTTATTTGATGAGTTTATTTCATTTCAAATCAAAATCCATTAAATGAAAAAGAAAGTACCTAGTTGAGACATAGTATTTTTATTTGAAGCAAATTTGAGTTATTTTCTTCATGCACAATGTAAGCACTACTCTATTCTTGCACAGGCATTGCATAAGTGAAAGCATTAATAAAAAGAGGTAACCTATGGTGATATCTAATGCGAGGAGAAAGGTCTTTATAGCGATGTAACCTATGGTGAAATACCATATAGTGATGTCTTTGTGGCCATGTATCCTATGGTGGAATACCATATGAGAAGGGTCTTTATGATCATGTAGCCTATGGTGGAATTCATATGGTAAGAAGGTCTTACAAGCCATGTAGCCTAGGGCAGAATGCCTATGGTAAGAAGGGTCTTTATGACCAAACTCATAAAAGATGGAAACTGGACAAAAGTGTGAAGCCATGTATCCCATAGGGAGAGGTTCCATCATTAGATAACGCACCACATGAAGTAATTGAAGATTTTATAAGATCACAGATAGGTTGTCACTTGATATTGAAAACCATACATATGTAACGTTTTGATGCAATTAGACCCTGTAATTAGGATCATGCATGCAAAGAAATGAGAAAGAAGATCAACCGGAATGGATGCTCAGATGTGTAGAAGTCAGGCTTATTTGCTTTGGCAATCACAACTTCAAAAAGTTCCCTCCAGGAATCTCCACAACCCAAAGAATCCTAATTAAAAAGAAAAATAACATTTAGATAGTTAACATCAACTGTTGCAAGCACTCATTAAAAGATGCATATATAAACAAAACTATGAACAGATAATGGCTTGAGTGGGGGAGGAGAGCAAGCAACCACTGCAGAACAATCGCTCAAATCTTGCATGAAATAGTTGCACCATGTCAAATATATACTTTATAACATGCACACAAGGTGTTCTCTACTAAAATTTTGCAATGACGTGTTCAAACGATGTACAAGTTTATGCTTCACATTGTCCAAGTTCTAATTGCAATAAATCATACTTTTTTCTCAGGCTTCCATAATATCAGCACATTCGAACTACAACAATGTTGTAGTCTAACAGACCACGCAGGTCATTATTCAAATCTTAGCATGTGAGATCCATGTAATACCAATATAAGACTAAAATCAACAGATCTTACTGCACTTATAGCCAGTCATTGCATTTTAAACCATCAACCATCTTCATCTTAGTCATATTCATATATTTCCCTAACTGATAACTGGTATAAGAACCCAATCAAAATAGATATCTAAGAGTAGCTGAAGAGAGTAAATTTTGTTCATGACCAATGCAAGGTTGGAAACTAATGATTAGAAAATGAAAAAATAAAACTCAGGAAATTTAGAGAAGCAACTCTAATATCAGTAGAAAATTCATTCAGCAACTCAAACATAAGATTGGCATTTGCAATGCTATCTTGTAGCTAATAAGTGGCAGATATAGAGGATGCATATGCAGCCTGGTACAATTATCACCAACTGAACATCAACTTATAAAGATATACAAGTTTGAGCAATATAACAAACAAAAACTGAAACTGTCTTCAATAGTTCAACTGATATCAAGGGGAAGTAAATGCAAAAAAGCACAAACCAACTGAAGTTGGTCGTACGAGAAAAAAGGTGATTGTGGAAAATGTTTCAGAGTTCACCTCCAACATGTAGCGCATCCCTCCATCAACAAAATAATATGGAGAATTGGTCATTAAGAAAAGTTTCTTCCCGTTCTCCTTCAGCATTTTGAGAAAAGATAGAAACTCCCCCTGTATATGAAGATGCAAAGCCTGAATAAGTATAAATGGCCAAGCCGCCAAGGTATTCAAAAAATAATTTGGTTGAGACAACTTAGAATTGGTTTTATCTAATAAATATATAAGAAAACAAGATATAGCACTACTACGCAAAACTCACATTTTTAACTAGGTATCTATGGGGATCAGAAAGAACTCCTCTATGAACCAAGCCACTTCGGTGAACATGCTGAATCGCACGATGTACATCTTGATATATGTAAGAAGCATCGAATTCCAACTTAGCATCAACAAAGTATTGCACAATATCTGCAATAAGGCATACCTACAAAATGGAAAAGGAAAATAATAAACAGTAAGAACAGAAATGGAACTGGGAAGTCGGGACTCAATTTGGCACATCCCTAACTAGTTGTGGCCTGGAGGCAGGCCAAAGATCCATAAGAATATTACGAACTATGTATTAAAACATCCAGCTGCTAGATTTTAGTCCAAGTGATCTCTTATAGAAGTGAATACATTTTGGAAAATCAACATATCGGACACTTAAACAGAGTTCTGTGAACTCAAAATCAGAAAGTTTGTGTTATCTGTGGAAGGTGAATGGAAGATTAAGTAATAACACGCACTTCCACAAGAAGCTTTTGTGAAATACTGGATCATCTAAGAATAGTTCAAGCTCACATCTATTGATAGCGCACTTGATCCCTGAGAAATTAATTGCTTAAGAACTAAAATGTGTTGTATATAATAATAGTCAAACCTCGTCTTTTTTTCAAACCATGACCCTGGACGCATAATGTTTTGATCAATCAACAGGGTGCTCACATCATCATGTTTAACCTGTTAAGTTATATGTAATTTAAGATTACCTTTGATGTGTTAATAAGTGACCTGCCTTACATAACTTTACTACAATACAGTCGGAAAAATTACTTCAGGAGATTAGTTAATGGTCACTAAAATGGTTCTCACCACTACTTCTTGCTAAATTGGTTCTCATCACTACTTCTTGCTAAAAACTACACATCTAGCAATGCCATTCTTTGTGCCAATTGCAATGCAAGAGAATAGCACTCAACAATCAAGATCATTGTGAAAATGTACTTTTCTTTTCTATTAAACTACACTAAGAAAACCAGAAATGGAACCCTCAAATTTGTGTTAGATAACCAAAGTATTGAAACTTGAAAGAAGTCTCCCAAGATCCCAACTGTGTTCCTGTAGGTGATGTTCTTGGTACTTCACTCCCTAACTCTGCCTCTCTTTGCAATGAATCCTCTGAAGCTGTTTAAAAATATTTTAGAAAAAAGATGGTGTGCCATTTCACACCCCTTGACATATGTTATCAATTATTATCCCATTTACATTTTGTTAAAGGATTGGGGAAAGGTCCTCAATCTCTCTGTGTTTTGGGGGAAAAGCAGACAAGTCAAAAGGGGAGGGGAGAGAGAGAGCAAGAAAGAGAGGTACGGGAACGGGAGGGGAGCCAATGAACACAAACCCATCGGTACAATTTAGGCTCCTTTAGAGATCGAATCCTAAGAAAATATTTAGTGTCAAATCCTTACATCCAGAATATTTCTCATGTAACCCATGTTCTGTCATACCATGCTAACAATACACACAGAAGCATATGTGCTTAAAGCAGGTCAAGAGCTAACAAATATCTATCATAAGCATGAATGCTTGTGCAAATGCTAATACATATCCAAAGAGAAGTGCAAGAGAATAAATTCTAAAATTTAAAAAATAAGTGCTACTTCCCAAATAGAAAATATTTTCACTCAAACACAAAGATCAGATACCAACCTCGCTAAAGCAAAAGAAGTCCATCAAACCTACAAGTCCCCGTGCTTGATCACGGCCAATATGCCGTGTTCCATAGAGCTCTTCGATTTCCTTCCGACTAAGCTGTTAATGACACAACAAGCAGATTTGTATGTCATAAGGTACCAACAGAAGTCTTCCATGAAAGATATACATGTACATCAAATACATCATGACCTATCTCACACTATGATTCACTATTAAAGCAATGGGAGACATGCATCTTTTATAATAGTATAGCATGATCCACTACTGTATTATCTGTTATTCTTCTGTTTATTAACTAAAAAGATCAGATATCTCCACTAAAGAAATTGATAAGATGCATGATCAACTACCCCTTCTTTGTCATGAATATTGTTTGATTTCTTCAGTTTCTTCTATGAAATATCATAGGAATAATAGAGAACATACCACTTCAAAGATATATGCTTAATCTATCTTTAATATAGTGAATGATAAGGTAAGGTCACACCAAGTAGTCAAAGTGTCAGCAATGGTGCATGTTGCGTTGCAAAATCTGCATCACACATCATCAAGGTGCATATGCCGAGAGGTAAAAGGCCTAAGCAATTACACAGAAATGTGTCCTTAATGTTCTTGGCTCTAAAAGTGCAGAATTTTGGGCTTGGTTGTCCTAATTTCTCAGCCCTAGTAGTAACTAGATCAATATAAGAAACTAAAGTTGGGTAAACAAAACTGCAAGTTAAACTAATTGCTTTACAATTGAGTTGCTTAGTTAATCTTTTATTGACTAATGGAAACTATAATTATTTTTCGACTTAAATAAGATGTCGTTTTATTATAACTCATCTTTAATTGAACTTCAGAATTTTTGTCCATAATATCCCCTGAGCTCTGCTATGCAAACACACACTAAGGATGTTTTCAAGTTTGCACGATGTTCATGAATTACAGTAACACCGACAAAGCTTAAAAGCACCCATATTATTTCTTCGCTCTTCTACTGCAAAAGTTTAGTAAAAACTATATCACCATCAGCTATCAAGCAGAGATGCCCATTACCAACTTCAACTTTGTTTATCTATCTCATGGCAATAGCACAGATAACCTCCATTTGGCTACCATAATGGACTCCATATAAGATTTTTATCAGTGCGATATTCTCAACTACAACATTACAAAAAGAATTAATGAATAATAAGATAATGCACATGTAAACGATAAAGAGCAGCACTTAAATCAATGTGCAACATCAAAACACAGAATAGATGATCTATCTCACTGTAATGCATCGCCATACCTTGCGCCGACCAAAGTAGCATCCATCTGGCTCAATTGATCCAAAGAAATCTAGCTTCAAAAGGCACCCTTTTAACTTGTCATAATACAGACCTCTAATTGGAAAACTCTGGTCATATTTAGATGCCAAGCAACCATCTGGATATCTAAGCTGGAAAACCAAATGTCAGTATGTTAAAATGAGCCATGAAACAACTCTACGAAAATGTCAGAACATAGTTCAAGAGATACCTCATTTACTAAGTGTTGTTTTGCCAAATCATAGATCAAATTCTGTAAGCTAGGAGAGTAATGTGCCAAGGTATAGTCATAGTCAAACCCATAAACTTGTATGCTATCCAATCTAAGGTTCTTATTAACATATATACCTGAGATTCACAAAAGCAACACACCCAACAGTAATCACATTCACGAACTCATGAAAGTTTACAAACTCAACCGAATTAAATATAGAAGAATATGTCTACCTTTGGGGTTCATTTTAGGCATTCTCTCCAAAGCATCAGGAATATTAAGAAACCTCTGCTTGGCCAAGTTGAACTTTTCCCGAACTTTAGCCACCTCATCATGAGAATCCAACCAACCAACATCAGGTACACGTTCTTCTTCCACCAGGTTCCTTACACTTGGATCAGAAGATATAGTCGCAATTTGCCTAAAACCACCTTCCCCAAACCCTAAATTTCCAATACAGAGAACCATAAGTTTCATTACAAATCATCAAAAACGCCTAAATCTATGAAGAACTTATCATCTATCCACTTCAAGTGTAAGAAAATTAGTCACAGGCAGGATCCTCCGGCAGTGAAAAATTCATTCATCAGAGTTCCATCACAACATAAATGGCCGCGTCTCTAGGAAACCGATTCCTACATTAAACGTGTATACACAAATATACTAGAGCGGAAGGTACCTTGTCGAAATCCAGAAGCAGGAAAGTTAGCCCACTGCAACCAGATCCATACCATACAGATGCAATTCGTAAGTAACAATAATTCGATTTGGATCACAATTTCATAGAAAATATGCAAAAACAAACCTAAAACCAAATTATAAGCGCTTGTGTTACAAAAAATCCGATGATACAACACACATTCGTAAACATCTTCACATACATGAACTACAAAACATACATACAAGTTCACATTTCCAAATCTTGCACCAAGAAACTGAAAGCATACCAGAAATGAAGCACGAAGCGGAACGAGCCTGCGAACGGAAGCCATGAATGAAAGAGAGAATTCAGTTGTTCATCAGCGTATGAAAATTGTTAATGGTCGTTATTAGGGTTCGTTGGTTTCAATATTTCAGGAAACTTCCGTTTGAATGACTTTTCTGGCCACGGTATAAGTGACTTGTATCAAGCCGCCATAACGCTCGATTCAAGAATCAAGAAGGTGTCGAGTGTGAATATGGTTGACGTAAGCACACGAAACACCCTCTTCCCTTTCCGTTTTCTTTGGGTGGAGAGGTACCAAAGGTTTTGTTTGGATGCATTATTATTTTTGTATTAAATTATTAAAATTATATATCTCATAATCAAATTGACCTTCTAATTATTTTTTCCCCGAACTTTATCTAAGAGCCGCTAGGTCCATAATACTTAGGTCCGCAATTATTGTGAGCCAACTAAACGACAAATTTTAGAGTTTTTTGGTCCAGGTCTATAATTATTACGGATACAACCCAAATCTCATTTTCCTTGAATACGTAAAGTCGGATCCATAAGTTATCAAATCCATAATGGTGGGCCAGTTCAAAGAAAAATGGTTTTTGGGTCGAATCCGTAATAGTTTGTGGACCGATTGTTATGGACCTGGCCTAAAAACGTTATATTTTTTGTTGTTTAGTGAGTCTGCAATGACTTTGTGATAAAGTTCAAAGAGAAATGATTAGAAAGTTACTTTAGCTATGGTCATTTAAGTCATTTTTTCATAATTAAATCATCATGTTATTATTTAAAAAATTTATAAAGAATCAGATTTTTATGTATTTCTACTGTTTGAGGTAGAGTTAGTAAAAAAACATGTACCTCACATTGAATCTGATTTAACTGAAAAATCCTTGATTTTAGAAATCGAAAATGGTGACACTCCTTGGGGGAGAAATTACTTAAATAATTATTTTAGAGATAATATTTTATCTTCTAATTACTTTATGAAGTGGTTTTTTAAAATATTCATAGTTTACGTACGAACTTTACATAAAAGAATTTTTTGATGTATAAAGTTTTATTTTTTTACAATTTCAAATGCAAAAAAGTTAAATTTTTATAAACTTTTTTTATAAAGATTTAAAATTTTATTTATTTCCTAAATCTGGAAATGTAAATAAAATACATAGAAAGTATATTTTTTGTGTAAAGTTATTTTTCATATTTAAAAAAAAAGGTTACACATAAATTCTATTTTTTGCATAAAGTTTGCACCTTTTTCAAACTTTTTAAGTAAAAAAGGGCATTACGTAGAAAAAATCCTTCAACGTAAAGTCTATGTGTAAACTATGACTATTTCAGGAAAATACTTTACAAAGTGGCTAAAAACTAAAAACTCATGTCTAAAATGGCGGCTATTTATGTAAATTTTCCCCGCTTAGGTCTATGAATCCAAATTGAACCCAATACATATGTATATATATGCATTTACATATACATATATAGAGCCTAATCAAATGAAATTTGTTTTGCTTGTGGTAACTGTGAGATTCAATCTCAACCACAAATCAAAGGTTAAATTAGAAAATTAATGATTTTGTTAATTTTAACTTAAAATATTAATTAATGGTATATTAGAGATTTTATAAATATTCTCTCCCATCTCTCTTCTTTCTTCTCTCCGGCAAATCTTATTCGACGAACCTTATTCCGATAAACCTTACATGAACACAAGATACACACTGTGATACCTGCAAACGATATTCATTGTGATACCCAGATATACATGTAAGATCCACAATGTAATATCTTTTGTAAAGCAATGAAAATGCAACACTATGATACATATCATAAAACAAAGAAAATGCATTGTGATACACGTGAAACATTATGATACACTTTGATTCACAGAGCATGACCCTACCCTATTCTCGAACCCTCTGCCGAGCTCCACCCTGCCCGCATTTCTTTTTTTTTTTTTAAGGGGCCAAAGAAAATTCCGAAGGCTTTCTCCAATCAAAGTCATCAAGATTCAATCTATTTGGGGGGTGCCCGAGCCCGAAAGCTTTAGTCGAACCCAAAGTCCTTTTTTAGTAACAAAATGAATCAGAAGTAGGACCAAACCGAGAGTTAATATTTAGAATACGATGTATATTAGGTAATTGATATACTAGATAACAAATTTTAATTAAATATTTTCTTCCAAAAAATTTAACTAAATATTTTGGTTAGTTGTCAAAAATAGAATTACTATGTTACACTTTTAGCTTGTTTAAGAAAATATACTTAATTATTGGATCTCACGATTACTACAAACTAATCAGTTCTCTATTGAATGGACCCCTACATATATATACATACATATACAGACATATATACACACACACACACACACACACATATATATACGTACATACTAGTTGTGTCCTCGCGCAATGCGGCGGGAGCCGTAAATTTTAACGATTTTGAAGCTTCAATGGTTTTGTTAGAGGAGATTTTAACGATGACATAACTTACACTTTACATAGTAATACAATTTGAATAAATAAGAGTTATGGTTCCAATTCAGTCTATCGATGAAAAAAAWTATGACAGTTTAAAATTCAATATATTTAAACCAATCCAACCTAATATAAATATCTATTGAAATATAAAAAATTAATTTGAATTTTGCATCTTGGATCAGGAATATGGTTAAAGTGTTTTGATGATTGTTCAAATATTCTTAGATAGTTGGATGAAAACAAGCAAATTTATGATATCGATTGACTGTGCAATTTTAGTTTTGAGTACCATTTAGTGATCTGGTAGTGTTAACATACACAACGTAAAATGCATTTGATAACTTAAACTGAAGCAAGGTTGGAAACGCTCTTAGGTGTGGGTAATGTTTTGTAACTGATTGTTGTTAACAATTGGGTTCAATCGTATTTTTTTTAGATGAGAGTTAGGTTTAAGTAAGAATAAAACTTATGGTAAAAAATTATTTTCATCCTAAAACCAATTATAATTGAAGATTAACATTAACGAAACGCACCGGATCCATTCTTATACTTAAACTTCACCTTAACTTTTATTCTTACACAATCCTTTAAAGATGGATTGACCGAACTCAATCGAGAACAAGGATTATATTACTAACTCTCAAGTCTAACCGCAAATGATGGAGACAGATGGAATACTTATTGATATAATTTTTCCAGCAACAAAACCCACTGCTCCAAATTGTTTGGTTTTCAAACAGACCAACACATTTTAAAGTAAAAAAAATATTTTTTCATCAGCTAATTACCTCAAGTAGAATATAATTCAAATATATGTTTGTATATGAATGAYATAAAATGAGCGTAGTAGACAAAGGATATTCCAACCAAAAAGGATATATATAAACACCATATCTATACATATTAGACACCATCGATCATTTCAAAATGTGTTTCCAACTAATCCTTAAAAGGCTCTCGATCATGTACATCATCTCTTTGGAGGCGTTTGAATCGATCATTCAAAATCTTGAATAAAAGGGGGAAATATATATATATATAGGATAAAAGAATAACATGTTTTAATAAATGGTGAAATGCACCTACCAAGTTATAGAACATAGAAAGACAAAGAATAACAGTACGAACCTCATCAAGTTTGATGTAACCAAATGATAAAATGGGATCACTTTCACCAATCATCCATTGTAATAGTTTATCAAGATCATTTTCCATCCCATTGCCCAACCATCCTCATTCTCCTGCCAAACAAGCATTTTTGTTAGATAGGATGTGCACAATATAGAGGCCCTATACAAAGAGCCCTAGAAACAAGTGAATCAGGTACCTATAAGATAAGATAGGTTTCGACCATTTTGCAATCACAACAGATATGAAAAAGAGAAATAGCATCTATGTTTTGGTCAAGATAGGTCTTCCAAACCAAACCAAACGACCCCCGTATATCCCAACCATGAGCAGGCGAATCCGGGACAGAGAGGGGTGTCATCTGCTACCGCTCTATTAATAAAAATAGTACTTTAAACCAAACTCATTTCATTAGTCAAAACAAAAACAAACACAACCTTCGTATAGGTCAAAATTAAAGTGAATGCAAGCAATATAATGGTCTTTGTTCCTAAGCCATATATTCTGATGACCTCTTGGATGTGGAGTTACAATATATTGGTTACACCATTATAGGTTTGTAAATTAAGATTCATCAACTAACAACTATTCAAGATAAAGGAAAATGTATCTTTATTCTTAGTTTTACATTTGTAGGTAAAGAGATGAAGAAATCAAAGGTGAACCATAAAAAATTACATAMCAAGTTGGCAATTTTTCTGCTCCATATATATATATGTTGATCTAATTGGTTATCCACAATGTGAATCTCCAAAGTTATCTATTCCTGCATCAYCGAAAACAAAACAGATGCAAGAAACCATATAGCACACTGATGTTTGATAAAGAACTAATGCTATATATTTGGTTGATGGAGTTTCTTTATCTACTGGTATTGAACTTAGCTATCAAATGCTTGCTGTGAGGGTGGAATTCGGCAGGTTAAAAGAAATTAATCCACCAGAAGTTATTATGATTAACGACAGATGTCAAAAATAAAATAGTATGTTCGAGTAACAAAACTTATCAGGATGATCGAAGTTGTACTCATAAAATAAGTCCTGCCAACACACGCATAGATACCTAATGGTTATATAACCAGCTTTTTGGGATCAAGAATTAATAGAACAGAGAGCCATATCAACAGACATCAAAGCGATGGTCCAATATTTGTTGTATGAAGCAACATTTGGCTCAAACAAAAGCTTACCATAGTAAAGATAACAAAATATTTCAAAGAGCTTTGAAAATCCAAGAAACTACAATATGTGAACCCCTTAATGGATGCATAAACCATAAAGCACAAAGTGCTTTGAAAATCCAAGTACCTTTCTATATAATCATCAATGACCCATGATGCATACCGGAGATGTGATCAGAGGTGTATAGTATTGAGAAAAAAAGGCAAACTTGCTTTTGTCACAACAAATAGTTCCTGCAAATAGATAAACAATACATTTATCAACAAAATTTGTTAATTGTTGATCATCTCTCTTAGTGATTTGATGATAATCCATTTTCTCTTTCACGTTGTATTTATGTTTCTGTATTTTTAGTTCCAGTGATCATCACTGATTCAGTGATCGCTGAAGAACTTGCATTGTAAATTTATCAGAGACAACAATACT